TTGGATTTATAAAAATAGGGGAACACCTGAGGGGTTTGTCACGATAATTTGCAAAAATTGGTATGAAATCTTGAGATTTAAGCAGGGATAAAAATTTATTGGTAGAAATATGTAATAATTTGCTCAGGACAATTTTAAACGAAATTAACTTAATTGCATAATAACAAAGCCAACTTTTTTGAAGCAAATTCAATTCGTTTTGGCTTCCCGATTTTTTAAGCCAATTTGATGTTTGCAATTTGACAAAACCTCCCTACTGCATGCAAAACTTGACAGAAGCTCATCTTGATTATCTCGTCAAATTCAAGAGATTAGATATGTGAATAAAACCAAACTATTCCTGAAAAATCTAGCCAATTAGTAAATGTACTTGATCAAGTGTAAGGTAATCTTGATTTAAAACTGCATATTATGTAGTAACTATGGTGCACGTGCTGTGCAACTAAAAGTTAAATCTTATAATCACATAGAATTGGCTAGATATATTTTCAGTAATTACTATTATTGAACAATACGTTAACAAAGTTTATTCAATTCCATATCTCGATCGTGTACTAATTAATACGCGAAATGCAATTATTTAGCAAAATCCTGCAAATTAGAAAATAGGGGCCCAAATTCGTGGCAGTGGCTAAATTCCGGTCTAAAATATTTTTTAAATTATTTCCACTGATATTTGGCCGAATCTATACGATTTTGAGCAAAAAATCAAATTTCACAAAATTCACACATTTTGGTTTTAAATCGAAAACTGTTTGTGGGCCACTCCGATTTTATTGCGGATTCTTAATGTACACAAAATTACGAAAATGTTAAGCTATCACACATCAAAATCGATGGAAGATGAAAAAACATCATCTGATCGTATATCGTAACAAGCATTTATGAATATGCCCACACCTCAAGTTGTGTATAATCTGTTTAGTGGTGTCGACAATCATCTAGCTGTTGCCAATAAGGCATAATTTAATTGTTCACGTGTCAACACACCCATGAATTGTAAAATATTACAACTTCTGTACATACGATCGTGTGATCACATTGCCCCGATTTTACCAAAAAGGGAAAAAGGCATTTTAGGCACGGCATGCCTTTTTGCCCTTGCACACTCTGCTTTAGAGTATGTATACCCGCTGTCAAACTAGTCTATTATGACGACTGGAAATAATTACGATATCGTCGTACTAATTCTAAAAAGACGTAAGTGCACAAAAAAATTCTAAAAAGACGTAAGTGCAAATCCAAAATTTTGAAGTCTTAGGTATGCATGTAACGTTGCACGATAACCTGAAATTAGAATATTTTAGTCAGATAAGGTTAGTGTTTACTTAACAATCGAAATTTAAAAACCACACCCCTTCAGGGGGTGTTGTCCCCGACCCTGAAATTACACTGAATATGCCACAGGCAAGCAATATATCATTTTTCTCGTCCCGTTGAGCCAATCTCGAATGAATAGTCGAATTTAAAAACCACCCTCTCAGGGGGTGTGGTTCCCGACGCCTAAATTCAACTAAATAAAACAACATGCAATAAATATCATTATTTTAATCCCGATGTTGAGATGTGCATGCATTCTTCGGAGTTTTAGGCCATTACGGGGGTGTGGTTCTTGTCGCATAAATAAAGCTAACAAAACATTCACGCATAAAATATCATTTTTCTGATAGAACGAGATATTTGGACAAACCGCTCAGTATAGAAAGTTCAATTTCCACTGACCTCAAAAACCTGGTCCTTAATTAATGTATAAATTTTGTGAATTTCTACGTTCTCAGAATTTATCTCAGATGACCTGTTAAAGAAATCCGCCAGAAAAGGTCCTACTACATACACCCCAATGTGTTTTTATTTTATTTCTATGAAGAATGAATTAAAATTTCATGCACGATTATTTAGTTGTATAATTATTATTCTCGCCACACAGCGGGTTTTTATTTACAAGTAAATAAAATTATACACGCTAGTAAACAATTCAACGTGTAAGAACTTATGACAAACGCATTCCATACAACACGCTTTTAATCAAATTATTGCCTTGCAGTGTAGTAAATGAAGTACACAAACCTGCTAGAATCATAACGAAGTGTTTACAATATTATTTTGATAAGTATATAATTATTTTTGGACGTTGTACTATTCAGTTAGATCTTTGTAGAATTAAAAAGACATGACCATTTGGTTTTAGAAATAGCAATACAAGCGAGGTAATTTAACTGAAACCTAACATTCCTAAAAAAGTTATGCGTATTTGAAATTCCCACCATAGTCGGAACGAAGGTAAGTGGTAATCTCGACGGTTAAAACATAAGGAACCACGCCGGTGGAATTATGAGTTTAAGTTTCGAAGGTTCTGTCGCGAATACCTCGTCGCCTAAGAAACATTATATTTTACGCGTGAATGTTTTTATCCTAATTTATGCAGCAAGAGCCATACCCCGTGGAGGTTTTAAATTCCTAAGAATGAACCCACTTGAGGGGTGGTTTTAGCCCGAGTCAGGGCTTATGTAATCATCATGTCTGTCTGTCTGTCTGTCTGACTAACGATTACTCAAGGAGGAGTTGACCGATTTGGATGAAATTTGGCAGAAACATGTATCTCGGCAATGCAACGACCGAGTTCGAACATGGGTTCGCTCAAAAAAGATTTGGACCAGTGGGGATCATGAGGGTGGGTGGGGTATTATGCACCAAAATTTCAAAATTGTCGCAGAAAGCTGAAATTTGGTACAGAGGTTGTTAATGGCTCCTAATGAAAGAATATGAAGTCAAATTTGAAAAAGTTTTAACCGGAGTCACCCTAGCGGGTGACCCATACCGATTTTTCAAAATCGTCCAATCGAGCCGAAATTTGGCATAGATGTTGCTAATGGCCTCTAATGCAAAAATGTGAAGTGAAATTGGGAAAGTTGTTATGCATAGGGACCCTATCGCATGACCCATACTGATTTTCAGAAGTTGTCTTAAAAAGATGAAATTCGGTACATTGATACTCAAGGGCTTCTTAAGAACGAATATAAGGTTAAAAGCGAGCATGGTGTCTCCAGAGAGACCCTTTCAGGTGACCCATGCCGGTTTTTGAAAGATATTAGTTGCAGTTGAAATTTGGCACAGCGGCTAAAAATGACTTCTATAGAGCAAATACAACTTTGTAACTTCTAAATTTGAACGAAGCGACCCCAACTGGTCCTTGTAGGCAAGGTGAAGGATTTGCAAATAACTTTACACATTTATTGCTAAGTAATACAAGATTGCACCAGCCCCACCACGGAGGTGGTAATAGTTGCTCGGAGAAGTCGGACACGGTAACAAGCGGATCCTATCCCTGACTCGGGCTATATGAAGGCTGCACTGGAGGTTATTTAAATCTCGAATATTCATTCGAGATTGGCTCAAGAAAAACTATTGGATTCGAGAAAACTGATATATTGCTTGCCTGTAGTATATTAATTCTAATTTCGGCGTCGGGGACCACACCCCCTGAGAGGGTGGTTTTTAAATTCGACTATTCATTCGAGATTGGCTCAACGGGACGAGAAAAATGATATATTGCTTGCCTGTGGCATATTCAGTGTAATTTCAGGGTCGGGGACAACACCCCCTGAAGGGGTGTGGTTTTTAAATTTCGATTGTTAAGTAAACACTAACCTTATCTGACTAAAATATTCTAATTTCAGGTTATCGTGCAACGTTACATGCATACCCAAGACTTCAAAATTTTGGATTTGCACTTACGTCTTTTTAGAATTTTTTTGTGCACTAACGTCTTTTTAGAATTAATACGACGATATGGAAAAATTGGTACATAAAAAAATCGTATTTTTGTAGAAACCTATGTCCTCTATTTATGGGTATGAAATTTTTATTACAGGTGCGGTAATAGATATTTATTTATCATGTGTCACGACGACGGGGTGGGGGCCTGGATAGCCAACTCGCCAAATTAATTGCGGGAGGATATCGCGGGAGGATATTCATGCCATCGGTCAACACGTGGCTGCCCTGGGCTTCGACTTGAGCAATGTGATCGTCATGGACAACTCCAGGTGTGGGGGCGACAATATGTATGAACCTCCCTCCGCTCCATAACAAAAAGACCAAGGAAACCTTAAATAGAAGTCACTCACAAAACATAGTTGATTTGATTCATAGTCACGAATTATGCACAAAAATAATTTCCTCTTCAAATTAAGTAATTATTGATATTTTGGCAAGTTGATGCTAAAATGTATAATTTACACAAGAATCTATTTACTTCTAATAAACCGTATCAAACAAACGTAACGAAGAGGTGAAACAATACTCAAGCCGTTCTATGAAACATCATTTTTACACGTTAATATTATTCAGTAGATGAACCGTCCTTGAAGTGGGACATATCTATTTACACATGTGCACAGGTACACATGTGATAAATAAAGTCGCCGACTACGTATTTTATTTATAACAAACCAATAGAACAATGCATTGCATTTTATAACGAAAGGCAAGATTGTCCGTCATTTTCTCTTAAGCTTCAATATGGGCGAAAACAATGCTGGGTATGTAATACATACATACTATGTATGTACATAGCAATGGAAAAATGGAGGTATTGCATACATTATGACATGCTCATACACAGATGCTTTAGATTTAATATATAATGCAGATCCAGCAATGATTTGTATATTTATAATTTGTTAAGGGTACGCATGCATATGTATATACATCGTCACGGTACATCTGCATATATCTTTATGTAGAGTTGGTAAATAGGGTAGACAATGAAATGTAAAAAATAGAGAAAGCAGTGCAAATGGTACACGCACACATACTGGGGTCTAATAATATATAGGGAAGACCGTTATTTATTAGTGGGACAAAGAAATACGCATTTCGATGAGAGTATGTAAATATGTAGCACTCACTGTGAAATCATTTTCATGAGAGTGCTGCAACATCGTCATGAACAAAACCACACGAGAAACGAGCCGACAAACAAACAGAGCGGGATCAGAATCCGTTCAGCTGCTGCTGAATAACAGTCTGGAAGTGAGGGTGTGAACAGAATTATTTAATAAATTGTAAAAGTTCCTGCAAAACAATTCTGCAGTAATTGTTAATTACTTCAGATAATTACTGCAGACTTATAGTAAATTAAGTGTATTTATTATTATTTAAGTGTATTTCCTCGACAAAATCCACGGTATGGAAAATTCCTACATACAGTTTGCGGTAAAACTATTGTATTTATATAAGCTGTGTTAAAAAATAATAATATCTCCTCAGTTAAGCAAATTAATGTATTGCAAGGTATTCACTTCATATACGAAATCAAGGAAAAAACTGACTTCAGGTGAGCTGTACAATTAGTAGAGCGAAAAGAAAAACAAATACGTTATAATAATAACTAAATAACCAGGGTATTCCGACTTGGGTTTTAATGGGTTGGGTTTTATTGGGTTTTAATGGGTGGTAAATGAATAAAACTCATTGGGTTTTACCATGTTAAGTGGGTTTTATTTGGGTTTTAATTGAGTTTGACCTTTAAACTACATTCTAAAAGTTAAATATATCTCTTATCCGTTAGAGGACGTTATCTCAATTCACCTAAGCAGTTTATTTCATTACTATTAAAATATATGAAAATCCGGAACACATCATCAATTGACTCCATCCTTTAGCGTCACAGATTTCAATTGTTACAAAAAATACATAATTTCGGAATCGATACACATTCCAATATGGACAAAGGAAATTTTTATATAATTGGAATTGAAATTGCAATAATTGGTAATTATTTTTAATTTATAGCTTAAACCCTAATAAACCCCAATAAAACCCAATAAGACCCAATAAAACCCACTTAACATGGTAAAACCCATTAAAACCCAGGGGTTTTTATTATTTTTGATTAAAACCCTGGGTTTTTTCGAACCCTGTAAATAACACTTACAAAACTTGTCAAGGTGACAGTGTTTGTAAATATTGAAGTACAAAAATATGTACGAAATAATTGATGTTTGATATATTCTAATTTCAAATTTTAAATTTTGCCTATATATTTTAGGTAGTCGATTAAATGGACCGGGGTTTCCCCAAGATTAGATTCTTCAAAAATCAGTAAACCCCTGGCGTCCACCTGTGTGTTATAAATATCGCGTGAGTAATTTTCCCGTTCCACAAGTATGTCTGCAAGAGCTACAGTACATATGTATGTAATTGTACATAACGTACAAATAAAAATATATGTATATCCCACCAGGTTTTGAAATGGATCCTTTGGGTGCCGTCGATGGTGTGGTTGATCTTTGCCACAGCATTTCCGTCTACGATGCCAATATTTCGCACGTTGGAGATACCCAACCAATGCCAAGGTAAATATATTGCAGAAATTAAGAAAATTCGTCTGGGTTCGAAAGGTAGAGATTTATTACACATTGCTAGTTCTTGTTCATTTTAATTTATTTACAGGGCTGTAGTCAAAGTGGCCCCCTCCCCGACTTCTAGAAGGAAGCAGTCGATGACCTCCCGAAATTCCAATGTTAAGCGTCTCGCTCGTCACGTCCGCTCCGTTCATAATAATGTCCGTCACCACTGTTCTGTGTGTGGCAACGGGTTCACCAGGCCATGTAACCGAATCCAGCATGAGGTGATCGTCTGCAAGGTGGTTCATCCCCCCGATATAATGAAAAGGTTTGTAGTGAAGGGATTCAAATGTGAGATGGTGGGATGTGGGAAATCGTACTCGATTCAAGATGATTTTGACAGGTGAGCAAATTCAGTTTAATTAGTAACGCGAATTACTGCAATTTGATGTAAATTTCAGACATATGGAGAAACATGCGGGCGAGGAGCGTCTTCACCGTGATTTGGGAGGTCAAGACCTGAATTACCAGCACGTGGCTATCAAACAGGACACCCCGATAGACATTGAAGACTCCGGTCCTTCCTCGGTTGATATCGTCGAGGGCATTCTTGTAGGTGCGTCGAATGCCAATGCTACCAAGTGTGATGCCGGGAAAGCAGTTATCGCGAGAAGTTCTAGGTATGTGGTTGAAAACTAGAACATATAGCTTTATAATAAATTTACAGCGAAGATGTCTTCCAGAGGGCGAGTACCTATTGTGTGAACGATTGACAAGAAAAAAGACTGAGTTATATCTTTTATGTTGTGCATATATTACGCAGGCCGGATCCCTTGACGATCGAAAAACCGCTAGAGACGACGAGTCGTGCACTCACTTATGGACTCAAACGTTCCAAGAAGGTAAAATGTGAAGACTGTCATAAAATGTTTTTGTCAAGGAACGACCTTGGCCATCATGTCCGCTCTGTGCATGAATGTGTCCGCTACCCTTGTTCCGTTTGTGGTAAGGGGCTGACCAAACCCAGGCACAGGATAGAGCACGAGGCCACTATGTGTAGAGTGATCCATCCCCCCGAGCTGCTGATACAGCTGGGCATCAAATTACACAAATGTGATGTGCTTGGATGTGGGAAAGTGTTCCAGAAACCGGGAGACTTTGCTCGGTGTGAAACTTTTAATTCCTCAATGTATGCTTGTTAATGTACTTATAACTTGTACCTCTCAGCCATAGGCAGAAGCATCCGGTTGTCAACCAGGCCGCAAGTGAGGAGCAAAGTTTTGTAATAAAGAAAGAGCGTGAAGAAAGCGATGATGATTGGGCAGCAGAAGCGCACGCAGGGATAACTTTGCCTAAACCCCTTCATGTCGATAAGGTGGATGAAACATCTATCGCGGAGATCGTATGCCGAATTTTTGTCGGGGGACCTGCTAAACTACATGGAAATTGTGTTAACGCACTGACTGCACGCGCGACCCAGATTATCAGGTGTGACAAGTGCCAATTAATTTTGTCTGACCGACGCTATCTCCAACTTCATATAAGTACGATGCATAGCATGGTCCCCTGTGACGTCTGTGGGAAGACGTTCTCTTCGCATAACTTGGACAGTGTCGAAGGCATATTTTGTACGTTGATTAATTCACCAGCAGGGACGAGCGGATTGGGTAGAAGAGCCTATCCTTGTGTCGACGATGAATGTGGATGTTCCTACAGCCAAGTGGCAGACTTGCGGAGGTAAATTAGCCATAATGTATCAATCTTGGTTCGGTAAATCAGCTGGGCTAATCAACATTCAAATATCTTATTAGGCACCTGGCCATTAAGCACGGGATATTTAATGTCCAGGAGTAAACAATGCGCTACAGAAATTTAATGATGATTTAGTTAAGCGATAAACATGTTAAATTTGGACCTATTAGTCTTATTTTAGATGAAAATCTGTCAACAGTTTTTATTTAATATTTTATGAGTACTGTAACATATTCAGATGACTGATTATTCTAAATTCTACTGGAATAGTTATTAATCTCACTTAAGAACATTGAATAAATATTCTAGAAACAGTGCTCAAGGTGCATCAGCATAATTTATTAAGAGTATCTGTTAGGCCGCCATTAAGAGTTTGTTTTATATTTTATTTCATACATTTATTTTATTAAATTCAAGTCAAATATTCCAATCCAATATTATTAAATACCCCAATATTGTAACAAAAATAAAAATGTAAAAATATCTGCTGTAAACAAAATTATAATTAGGCACGTACAATAATTTAGGTATACTATATCCTAAATAAAATTGAACACTGCTCCAGAAATCTAAGGTATGTATTGACAGAGTTGCGTTATTTAAATAAGTTTTTATATAAAAAATGCTTAAATAACGCTGGGAAATTATTTATTATTAATAAATAAATAACGCCTGGAGATTATTTATTATTTATTATTTAAAAATAAATAAATACGAAGATTATTTATTATTTATTATTTAAATAATATCCAATGGAGAATTTTTTAAATATTTAAATAATTGCCTTATTAGCTCACCCTGCGTAGCATGGGAGCTATTGAATTCCTCTTGTCCGTCTGTCCGTCTGTCCGTCTGTCTGTTTACGACTCTTTTGCATCAATTGATGCTAATTAATTTGCCCCATGTGCAAATTATAGCAAATTAGTAGCACCATTGGTCTCGAACAGTCGGTAACACAAAATGGTGCCAAACAATTGAGAACATAGATGCAAAACACACCAAACGTGCATAAGAACCGAAAAAAATAACTAGAATTTTTACTTTGAATTTGTCACGATTTTATGTCAAAATTATGTATGCATTTTCCTCGTTTATTTTCCACCATTGATGGAAAATTATATCACAATTATGTGTATCTTTTGTCCGCCCATTCGGCACCATTAATGCAAAATTATGCCAAAATTGTGTATCCATTTTATGTGCCAATTCTGCACCATTGGTGCAAAATTATGCTAAAATAATTATTGCAGGGTGAGCTACTTCTAACGTTACAACGGTTTATTTAAGTAATTTTGAAGTGCAATATTTCTCAAAATGATTTTAAACTTTAGTCTAATCCAAAAGTTTGAACATTGAGATTCAAGAAACCAATGCACTTACTAAGGCGACGAAATTTCGCTTTGATGTTTTAGACAGTTTGGCCGCTAGCTAGTTATAATTCGAAGGATCGGATTAAGTTGGAGTTCTTAAAATACTTCGAAGATAAATAAAGTGCGGCAAAGCACGATACATAAGTAGCGCAATAATGCTGAGAATGCTGAGAATGCTGAGAATAAATTTGCGCAATTAAATAATTAATTAATTGATTAATTAATTAATTAATTAATTCATTAGAATTAATTAATTGATCACACCGCGACCGCACCCCCTGTCGTCGAGGGGGTGTGGCACAATTCAGATACACGTAATTTAACTGGATTTCATCCATAGATTAATTTGCGCCATAAATCTCATTTTGCCCCGATCACACCGCGACCACACCCCCTGGTGCCGAGGGGGTGTGGTCCAAAAGTTTACGGGATCCTCCCCTGGGGTCATGTGTATGATGCCGCAAACCGATTTCGATTATCTTGATGCGTTCTCGAGTTATAGTGTTGACCGACAGACAGACAGACAGACAGACAGACATCCTAACTAACCAATCGCATAAAATAGCTTGCGCTACTTAATAAGGGAGTTGCATATTGAAAAGCTGTTCTCATCTTCAACAATTAGAAGCATTTTTTAAATTTACAACAACTTCTCTTCCTCTACTCCTGATGAAACAGATTTTATTTATGCTGGCATGATTTTGTATGCAAAGCGTTCAAATTAGCAGATAAATTATTTGAAGCTATCTTTGCTACAGAGGTGCGTTAAATAATGCACGAATTATTATGGTCGATCCAGAAAGTACTGAGCTATGGAATTCTCGGGAGGCTAAATGGCCGACCTCGCCATAAGAAATAACATGTAGAGTTTGAAAATTCACCGTAAGGTCAGTTCTTGACCGATTTTCAAAATCCCGCCCGTTTTGGAAGCATTGAACCCTTGGGCGAAATACGTAAGAAAGATTTTTAATATTCGACCCCATTCCCCCGTTATTGAGGTCACAAGGTCAACAAACAAGTAGAAATTATTTATAGAATTTGAAATTTCTACGACCGTATTCGAAGGTCGTCGACGTAAATTCTTGGCAACAGAGAAACCAGATTTAAATAATTTCCTCAATTGATAAAGTTTAACAACAGCTTGAGAGACAATTTTGGAAATGTGATAACTCCACTCATACTTCGAAGTGAAATGTACCCCAAATAATTTTAGCTTATCAACAACAGGAATTTTAACATTATTATATAAAAATCAATCAATAAAAATCACTACTTCAAGAACTAGTGTAAATTCTGGGTTATGACAGCATATTGCGAATTTTGTAATTTAAATACGTATGCACTTGTGCTTTAAGACAAAGCTTAACTCGAACTGTAATTACTGCTAAAAATTTGAATTACTTATGTAAGTATGTATCTAACAGAAAATGCAAAATAAACTGTGATTCGAAAAAGCCCTTGATACCTTATTGTCTGGGGATTAAGATTAGACCCAATTTTGCATGGCATTCTTAAATATACAGACCATAATGTTAGGTAAGAGTGTCTGGCATGTATTCATAAGACGTGACTACCATTACCACATGAGTCATTATTTTTGTTACAATATTACAATTCCGTATTCATGTAAAAATTTCTATTTGAACTTCAACAATACGATGTACCCACAAAAGCCATACAAATGTGCTTGCATGAAATATAAACAAGGCGTCTCATAATATTTCAAAAAATAAATGAATTTATACGATGAGTTTTATGAAAAACTATCGAAATTCAGAGTAATTAACCAACATTAAAAACAAATTTGCGAAAAACGTTCAAGTCTTATCGCTTCACCAAAAGACATGAAACCGTTTGTCTCACACAGAATTCCTGTACCACAAGTGGGGTCAACGTTTCTACGAAATTATTCCCAAACTCCAACCTCAACGACATCAGCGATTTGTGCATCCTTCTCTCTAATTTTTTGTCACCGCTCCCCTTAAACTTTGCGATCCAATTTACACTCAAACTATTAATCTGCGCCGCCGCAGAGAACAATAACATTGTAAAAACCAGGACAAGAAAGTAAGCCCATAGGAACAAAGATGCCTCAAAGTTGGAGATGTGCTCAGAATGAAATAATTTGAGGGACGTGTAACACAATAAAATTTGCAAGCCTGGCACTAAAAGTGCCGTGATGAGGAAAATTCGTGATTTTGTGCAATAATTTAACAGTTTTTCGTAAACTTTTAGCTCCTTGTAGGCCAGAAGCCAGGCAATATTGCCAGCCGGGGTGTAACCATGGACAAAGGTTGTGCAGGACATCCACAAAAATGAGATTCCATGGAGTAATACAGTTGCCAGGTAGTAGACCGAGGTGGTGACGAGTTGTTGGAGGGAGATGAATTCAAGGATGGCGAATGATAGTTTAATTGCGTAGATGGTGGTGTGACTTTGTCCGGTGAGAAGGCCGCCATCCTTGCAGAATAGACAGCTTAACTGGATGGGCTGACAACGAGTTAGAATCGTGAGGGTGGATATGATCACGGACAGGAACAAACTTGTCACCTCAGCAGCGCCGTATAAGAAATTGATGCAGAGTTGGAGCTTAGTGCCACCTGGGAATAGTTGAATGGATTAATGATAGGAAAGTATGATTTACTAAGGGCTCAAAAGTCACCCCATCGTGCACTGCAAGGAATTACAAAAAATGCAAAAAAAAGTGGCTCCACCTAGCGGCGAGCCCTCAATATTTAAATTATTGTGGTTTTCATTCCGTTGAAATACATTTTCGAAATTTTAGTATTGAGGGCCCGAGTTCGCATAACAACAAACTTGTGACTCATATAGGCGAATGAAATACTTGCCCTGGAAATGGGAACGTTCAGAAATCAATTTTCGAGTCAAATTTTTGTGCAAACTTGCAATGAATACCCACATTATTAATTCGAACTTTTAGTAAGAATTTGGTCTGGTTTTTATGCACAGACCAGAGATTTTTGTAATAATATGAATTTTAAATATTATTTTTGCAACAAATTAAGTTAATTATTAATTAAATTCTCCTCTCGCTGGAATTAATGTTTTCCCCTTTTTACACCAGTTGGATTTTACACGGGGCGGAAAATTACACCACGGGGAGTGGATATTCATACATTTCTGAGTGGGAATGGGAGACTTCCGGCTGTGTCAAATCCTTCACAGGATCTCGTCCCAAATCCCTGAGAATGACAGGAGTACCCGGATCGATAAACGCACCGAGCATTAATTTCTACCCGGAGGCTGACTTCGAGGGAGAACATACCCTAGTGGCTGATGACATCCCGGATGTGGACCTACAGATCTGTTATGGTCACCGGTCGCAGTTCTTATTGGCTGCTGTATCCAGCTGTACCTCGGTTTTCCTGCCTGTGTGGATAATACGAATTATAATACCTCCTCGATAAGAGTGAGGTCTGTTAAGAGACACACGGAAAGGTGCCCGTGCCTCTTTTGTGACAAGGTGGAACAGAAACAGCCAAACATTGTGCGAATTGCTAAACCCGTTTGAAATCATGATTATGTAATATCAATTTATGTAAAATAAACAAATGCACCTTTGTTGAGTATGTGTTTAAGAGTACAAAAACAAAATACAAAAGATAACTATTGTCGAATTTTATCGTTAATAAAAATCATTAAATATGCGTTGAAGTTTTAGTCATTCGATTAGAATCATATATTTCTAGAGACTGATTTGTTAATCATCATCACGATTCTTTTATAACCTATGCTACATGATAAGATAATATGTGTTAAATCATTCTTGGTTAAATGTAGACCGGATGTTAACTAATCATAACTCCCAAATATTCGAGGATACATACATATTTGTTAAATACTTAAATTCTAACCCCGATAATTTAACAATATGTACTTCCAAATAAAACTTCAGCTCGATTGGGAGATTTGACAAATTTATATGGGATAGTCCCATGCAGAGAGTGCAAATATACACGGTTAAAAAACCATGCAAAAGCTATTCCCTTTTTACCCTGTTCGAACTTTGTTGCAAAATTTATTCCTTTTCATAATTTGGATTTCTAACCCAGGCGAACATAGCTGCTTGAAAAAGTGACAACTTTATAATTTTGGATTTTCTTGATATAGAGGTTTGCAAATTGGCGTAGTTTTGTTCAATAATAGAGAGACTACGACTTACGGGATAAACGCTAAATTTTGCAAAAGGATTGGGAGAGGATTGAAGAGAAGTTGGCAGACAGCTTCCATGGCTTGTTTGCAAAGTTTATTTATTGCTCACAAGAATAACCACAAGATATTTAGATATTTATATGTAAATCAGACATGGTTTTTATGCTTTTCTTTCCTTTATTAAGTGAAGTGGCCAAAATTAATTTGCGTTTAAATCTAGAATTTCTCAATCCACAGTAACTTTCTCTTGGCTGGAATTAATTTAATATATCATTTTTGAATAGCTTTATCATACTAAATACCACACTTGCTAGTTTCGGGTGCGCCGCACTTCGAAGTGCGAAAAAAATCGCATCGCAACCGCATCGCATCGAGTCGCGTTGCGGTTGCGGTGCGGCAGCTTTTTTTAAATTGAAGTTGCGTTGCGGTTGCGGTGCGGCAGCTTTTTTTAAAATTGAAGTTGCGTTGCGGTTGCGGCCGATTAAGCTCCATCTTGTGCTTGAATTTATAAATTTAGAGAATCTTTACATTCTGGTACGATTATCGCCAATTTTAAAGAAAGGAATGCAATGTAACCAATGCATGGTAATGAAAGGTAAGTTAAGGTCCATAAATTATGCACAAATCGCGATTTTCTAGACCTCCTCCCACTTTTAACATGTGTCACATAGGCACGATATTATTGGAGCCTTCGACCTCCCCTCCCCTTTTGTGACATAATTTATGGACTTTCCCTAACAGGCTTCAAATGTTAATATTTGAAATTGGGATAGGTTGCGTGCAATTTTCAATTTCAGTTGCGCTGGAGTTGCGGTTAGGTTGCGTTGCGGTTGCGGTGCGGGAGTTCAAACTAACAAATGTGCTAAATACTCAATAAGACAATTTAATAATAAGAATAATCTACACTTAGAGGGAATCTTTTTGTGTGTAAAGCCCAATTATGTAAATATGTATGCATTAAACTATGCCAAATTTAATCCAATTATGTAAAACCTTGCCATAGAAGATTACATATCTGCAAGTTGAGTTAAGAAAGCTGCATGCAAAATTATGGGATAAAAGAAGCATAATATTTCTGCATAAGAAAGGTACGTGCCTTTTAGCATTTTAGTATCTTTACACTGCTCGCCCATTATACAAATCGTGCATAATATGATTTTAGTGGATCTTGAAAATTTCTGCGATTATTGAAATAAGACTTAGAGATTCGCTAAAATCAATTAATAATATTATTAGGGGAGTCTAAATTTACTGAACTCTCTCATGCAAAAAATACTTGATTTTGCCCATAATTTTGCATATGGCTTTCTTTAAACTCAATCTGCTGTAGATGTATTTTTCCGAACGGGGCAGATTCGGTGTTGAGACATTTGAAAGATTTACATACAGTTGTAATTTTTTATTTACTATTTAAAAAAAAATGGGAAATCATTGTGTGAACGTTTGTGGTAAATGACTAAATTAGAATCAAAATCAGTGACTTGTAAACTAACAGTAAATTCAATCCGAGTTTTTGGGTTAAAAAAAGGAAAACCCCACATGGGGTTTTAAGAGATATTTGGATTTTTGTTAAAAAATCCTACTTTTAAATTTGTTTTCTTATTTAAAAGGAAGAACATCAGTTTTACTAACAAACTAACAAGGGACACTATTGACATAGGTGGCGGGCCTAGGGTACCCACTATGTTTTTTAGAATCTACTAGGATCCTGGACGAATGATCCATTCATAGTTCCGTGTAAAACTCATATTTGGCACCGTGGCGTGGCGCCAAACTTAAAAGTTTGAGGTTTCGACCAATTTCAAACCTCAATAATTTTTGCAATTTCCATGGGATTTTCAAATTTTTGGGCTTACAATGATCACAAAGGTCAAAATTTTAAGAAACAAATAAAAAATGAAATATTTTTAATTTTGAGATATTTTTGAACAAATTTCGACAAATCCATGTGTCTAAGAAAATCGCAAAATTTTGAAAAAATTTGAAACAATCAGTATGTCGAAAAATTTCATGGCATATGAAAGTTGACCTCTTTTTCCTGATTTTTGGAAATCCGCCTAGGATTTCAAAAGTTATGGCAGTTTTAAAAATACAAACATTCAAATGAATTACTTTGTTCAACAGCAACTAAATTTCAAAAGATTATGTAAACATGAGTTTTTTTCGGTTTTTGAATTTCTGAATAGAGACAAAATTGAGACAAAATTATAATTTTTTATTTTAAAAAAATATTAAGGAAGGAAGGCAAAGGAAGAAATTATAAGCATACTATCCTTTTATTTAGGCGTGTCACCTCATTTGCATAAATCTCACCATTTTCGGCGATACGGGCTTTCTATGTTGAATAAACTCTGTCTCTCGCGAATGTGTTAAAATATGCAAATGAGGTGACCGGCTATAATAAATCCATAGTACATGTTTTTATTTGTTTTTAATTCGCGCCAAAAAAACAAAAAAAACTTGTTGGAGCTTTAAAACTGCATTGTCAGACATTTATGACGTTCATTATTGAGTCATTGTTCAGGAACATTGTCCAAAAACAAGGATACCCGTATTTTTCTACTTTTCTTAATGGTGAAATTGACAATATAAATTTCAACCGAAATCTACGGTTTGCAGTCCTGAAACTTTCGAATTTTGGCGCTATTTCAAAAAATCCAAAAGAAGTTCCCAACTTTGAAAAATTCAGAATTTTTTGTCGATTTCCAAATTTTAAAAAATCCAAGGAATCCGCAAAATTAGGAATTTTCAAAAATAAATATATTATACTTACTAAAAGTTCAGAATGCAATTATGAGCATGCTTTCCTCAGACTATTTGGAAGCGCGCCAAAATTCGAAATTTATAGCATTTTGAAACCTACAGATTTTGGATGCAGATTATATTAACCTTAACAATTCCGATACGTATTTAGTAGAAATTTCCTATTCATAAAAAATCACGAACACAGATTTTTATTATTTTCGTTCCTAAACAAATTAAAATTGATCCCATAAAAATCTGAGTGTAGCCGCCAAGAACCGTGATCGTTAATGTTCAAACATAGATAAATAGAATTTTATATTTAATAATGACCACCTACAATCAATTGTGGGGTATTACTGCCCTAATTTTTTTGACCAAAACAAGTCAGGGTGTTCCAAAAGTGCAATTCCAAAATGGTACTAAATCACCAAAAAAATATTTATTTTAATTTATTCTAAAACTAAAAATCATACTTAATATTTTCAATTATATCAACATTTCTACAACAAGAAACACCCTCCGCCCATCTTGCCATTGACGTATCCCATTACCAAGGAACCATCGTCTGGGGCCTCATTCCAAAAGATAGAGTTAGCTGCGCAATCATGAAAGCTACCCAAGGAGCCAAGTATGTGGATCCTACCTTCCTTCGAAATTGGAATGAGGCCCAAAAATACGAAATAAGTCGTTCTGCCTACCACTTTTTCACGACTTTTGACCCACCACAATCCCAAGCTTCCAATATAGCAACTACCTTAAAGAAGGTGAACTTTCAACCCGGATATAACGGCTTAGTGATTGATGTTGAAGGTGACTCTTGTCTGGTCGAGGTGGACACAATGTCACGAAATGTTCTCTCCTTGATAACCTTGCTAGAGGAAATGTACAACTTCCCCGTATTCATATATACACGGGCAAATTATTGGAATGCCTGCATCAACACGACGTGGAACAATGTATGGTTAAAGAGACCTTTGTGGGTCGCATATTACTCCGACACGGCAAAACAACCTGTTCTCCCGAAACCTTGGAGTTCCAGTGGGACCTGGGTTTTGTGGCAGTACAGTCAAACCTGTAGAATGCCTGGGATTAAGGGTAACGTCGACCTCAGTTATCTTAACCCAAATCTTACCGACATGTCCCAATTTGGGAAGAACGTCGCAGTCAAGTCGACTTCATCGAATCTGTTCCAACCGGCTAACATATATTTACTTATAAATCTTTTAAATTCGATGTACAAAACACTAATCATCATGTAAGTTTTTTGAAAATAAATATAGCAGTAAGAAAACAGAGTGTAATTTTTGTAACAAATTTGACAAAAACAGTGAATAAAGAGACCAGTTTTTACATTATATTTAATCCCCATCATCCTAGATATATGTTAAACAATTTCCAGTTTTCTTGTGGATTGCGAACTCCTAAAATCAATTAGGATAATAACATATGTAGCTTTAAATCAAATTATACAATCAGATTTCAGTAAACGAAGTTATCCTAAAAAATACTTAAGTACAAATATGTATATAAATACTACTTATAATAGAATTTATGTACATCCCAATGAAAATCGCTAATTTGCTGTAAACGGTAAAAACCTTTCTTTCGCTTGAACTTGTTGAGCTTGTTCGAGATTTAGTAATAACCTTGTTTCAAACACAAGCCTATCTAAACTGTACAGGTTTCCCATCAACATGCTTTCATTACCTATGTAACAAGATTTGAATTAGTTTGTAGTTTTAGAATGGCAGGCATAAGTAAAATACGACAGTAGTTGAACTCCACAGTGCTGGACACTTCTCGCACGAGATTTTCAAGTTTTTGAAACATCGCGGGTTAAAGATGAGATTTCCAAGCTAAAGTGTGTAAATGCCATGCTGCAGCAATGTTTATTGGTGTTAAAGTGCGTAATTTTCTGGTGTATAAATTTGCCTCGAGTTATTTTATTGAACATCCCGGTCTGAAATATTTTATTCCATGATTTGCTTATTTTCCACACAATTTTTATTATGGCGACTCCTGACCCCTTTTACTAAGGATCCTCAAAGTTTCTCAGTCCCTTTTCAACAAAAATTTCAAGTCAAAATTCGAATGTAATACTTCTTCCAAAAATTTTTTTCTGCAATTATGCACACTTGCTAGTTTGAACTCCCGCACCGCAACCGCATCGCAACTTTAAAAATAAAAATCGCACCGCATCGCAACCGCAACGCAACTTTAAAAATAAAAATCGCATCGCAATCGCAACGCAACTTTAAAAATAAAAATCGCACCGCAACCGCATCGCAACTTTAAAAATAAAAATCGCAACGCAACTTTAAAAATAAAAATCGCATCGCAACCGCAACGCAACTTTAAAAATAAAAATCGCATCGCAACCGCAACGCAACTTTAAAAATAAAAATCGCATCGCAACCGCAACGCAACTTTAAAAATAAAAATCGCATCGCAACCGCAACGCAACTTTAAAAATAAAAATCGCAATCGCAACGCAACTTTAAAAATAAAAATCGCACCGCAACCGCAACGCAACCTAACCGCAACTCCAGCGCAACTTAAATTGAAAATTGCACGCAACCTCTCCCAATTTCAAATATTATCATTTGAAGCGTGTTAGGGAAAGTCCATAAATCGTGGGTTTTTAAATACGTAACTGTAAGAATTACGTCCATGGGTTTTTTGTAAAAATTTTACCAAAATCGAAATCGATGCAAAAATTTGAATTGCGGTTATTAAAATTAAGAAAAAAAGGCACCTTGCACTATTTAGAATTAAGCCGACGATGTTAATATGTATTCCACGCTAAATAAAGATTTCCAGTTTTGAAGTTATCATAGCATAACAACAATCTTTTCATTTACGTATTTGCATTTAAATTCATGGTCTTTCTTACAAGTAAAATGATTTTATTACATTTTTGTTAGTAAGTAGGTATGAAATCCGGGCAAGAATCTGTCACTATAAATCTTAAAGCCTTGCTACAACTTGAATCATTTCGGGTGAATAAGATTTCTTCATATTAATAGTTTCCCCTACTTGATACTCCCTTGTCTTCCGTTGACCAGGAAGTGCATCATCCAAAGCCAGAAGTTCGTCTTGAGTAAATATGTGATCCAGGAATTTTCGGACCATCATCATAACCACCAGCTAAAGAAAACATGAGTCAAATTATGAACTTTTTTACTAAGGGATATTTGTAGAAGTTTTACCATAAGTGGAAATCCAATCGCTGTTGTCTTAATGCTTTTAATGGTCCACAAAATAGCTAAACAGAGGACTTGGATGATGGTGAAAAGATGAACTTTTCTGAGAGGAACCTCCCTCAAGAAGGGATGATCTGGTTGATATTTTAGTGGCATTAGGAGGAGGAGGATCCTGTGAAATAGGTCCATTCTCATCAACGCGGAGAAGCCCATGTAAAGAAATACGCCGTATAGGACTGGCATCGGGACATTTTTTAGAAGGGGAATTAGGAGCACGGACAGTCCCACGGTTGTGAAGACGAGAAGATTGGAGACGCGTTGTTCTCTAACCCCCAGATACTTCGGCTTTTCTCCAGGCGCGGCAGTTTCAGACTCCATTTTTAGGGATCCAATATTCGTCAGACTTTCCACTGTTGCCGCGACAAACCAAGGAAGTCCGAATAGTGAACCGATAACGATTAATAGAGCAAGGACGAAGAGATCCAAATGATAGCCGCACCCTTTCTATAAATAGATTATTAAGTATGTAAGAAATCTAATCCAAGATCTAATCTAATCTAAGAGATCCTGAAAATATAGACCGACCTGTAGCTTATGATCTTTCCTGTTCACGATAACTGCGGTGATTTGCTGGTCTATAAAATAAATGGGGAAAATGGACAAATTATTACGTTTTCGTTGTATCCAATGAAAATATTGCACACCCATAAAGATCAGAATTGTAGCAAGTAGGGCCGGGATTGATGCGGCAAAAATGCTCCATAATGGATTTTTTCAAATGGAGGAATCCACCATCCTCTAGTGTCCGATGTAGGGGCGAACTTTTCAGGAATTTCAAGTTTTGGGGTGGGAATCCCTGCCAAATAATCGACCACCGATAGACAAGCAATGGCGAGAATTACGGCAAAGTCGGAGACAAGATATCGGCACCATGTCGGTAGAAATGGGCTGATTCTAAACTCCTTCAACATATATGTGACAAAGAACGTGCCGAAAAAGAGTAGCAGCGACATCTAGATTAATGAGGAATTGCTATTGTTAATTTAATGATGTAATAATCACGAATATTTTGTATGTAATCACAAACCAAAAATACGGTTGTGCCTGTTTCTGACTCCAATTGGGTAACGACTTCGTGTAATGTCTGGTTCATATAAACAATTGGTAAAAAGTATTTGCAAATATCAGGGCTGTTTAATTACCTATGAAAGTAATTAATTCTTAATTACTCAACATGAAAATAAAGTAATTAAGTATCAATTACAAGACTTATTTTTGCAGTAATTGAATTTAATTACTAATTACAAGTACTTCACCAAAGAGTAATTTATTTTTAAGTACCAATTACTAATTGAAAATCAATTACTAATTACTTCCTAATTAGTAATTTATTTTAATTGCAAATTACTTCCCATAAAATAAATACTATCCCCTAATTACTAATAACTTTTTGAGCCATAAAAATTCCTCGGCAAATTGAACTCAACTTTAGCATTTTAATATCGAATGCTTGAAAATTTAAACTTCAAATTGTGTACTTTTTACAGTCAGTCGTTTGCCGTTTTGCCCGGAGGACTTTTCCCAAGTAGAAATGGGGGAAATTCACGTAAACGTGAAATATCTGTGACTTGGCCGCATTGTCACATGGAATTAACGTGACATAGACGATAAGTGTGAACTTCACGTGAAATTCACGCAAATTTAAAATTTACCTGAAATCCACGTGAATTCCATGTGACAAATGCGGCCAAGTCACAGATATTTCACGTGAATTTTACGTGAATTTCCCCAATTTCTACTTGGGTTGTGATTATGTAAAGAAATTGATATACAAATTTCTCAACAGTGCATAAATTTCTAGTGATAATTTTAGTTTTACAGGTAATGAGAAACGAGATTGTTTGAGCACGTTTCCAATTTGTAGTCCATGGAACAATTGCGATGAATAATTGCTTTGCAGGTTGCAATATGCAAGCAATGCAATATGTAGCTGGGTGGGACCACTGTCCTCAACAAAAGGATCCTAAACTTCATCCGGTGAACGAGACTTACCTCAAATTTATCTCAAATTTACCGCAAACTATGCTCGATTAAGTAATTGAGAATTCAATTAGTAATTACTACTTGGTCAAGTAATTAAATACTTCCTATGTTAAGTACTATTAATCCTTCAAGTACTTAAGCATCAGATACTTTTAGAAAATTTCGGAGTATTTGAAATCAAGTATCAATTACTAATTACTTCAATTTCAGTAATTAAGGGAGTCCTTAAGTACAAAAGTAACAACAGCCCTGGCAAATATGCAATTTTTCCAGTAATAATTCTGCTTACTTGTGATCCTGGGATTTCTGAAAATTCATCGAAAGTCAGGTTGACAATGCCCAATGTGATGTGGTTCTCTTTAATATGAACCACATTCTTGACAGCCTAAAGAAAAAATCATAATTGACTTGACCCTAAACCCTATGCATGATTAATAACAAATTCATCACCAGATGTACCTCAAACATAAAAATTAAGGCAATCAATGTCGCAAAGTTGTCCTCAGTAAATCGTGTAATGTATTGAACCAATGAGCTAGCATCCAAGGCGACAAGCACCATCAATATTGCGGAAATCCATAAACCAACCCACAACCGAAATTCGAGATAGTTCAAGTCATTCGACCTATTACATGTATGTGTTTCAAATTTGCACATCATGTGATTTATTTGCAAGTTTCACTTACTCGGCAAAACTGACCAGAATTTTCTCAAATACCAATACCGGACCGGTCGACCCTAGTATGAGGAGTGGTTGCCCAGCAAATAGGGCAAATCCAATGCCACAGACGCACCCACTGACAATTGTCTCCATTGTGCCCATCGACTTATGCGTTGCTTCGCCCATTAATCCTCCAAAGGTTATCATGGGAGTCTTGTTTTTAAAATTTTAACAAATTACTTAAAGCCGTTTGGAGATATATTTTGATAATTGCTCGATGTTATTTAAATGGTTGGTAACATATGTAGATTTGACAAAAAATTTGCTTATGATGTGAGTGAAAGCTACAATTTTCTAAAATGTTA